CTTGGGGAGGACTGGCCAGGAATCAAAGCAGGTCTCCTTCACAGAAGACAAGAATGCTACCACTGAACTACCACTGCCCTCACTCTACCTATGCTGTGGTTACTGTTGTGTGCCATTGAGTCAATTCTGACTCATAGTGACTCACAGGACTGCCCCATAGAGTCTCCTAGGCTTACATCTTTACAGGAGCAGATTGCCAAGTCTTTTCTCTCATGGAGTGGCTGGGGTTCAAACCATGGACCTTTTGGTGAGCAGCCAAGTGCTTAAGCATTATTCAACCAGAGCTCCTCTACCTTACCCATTTTTAAAAAAACTAAACAAAACAATAAAACCCACTCCCATAGAGTCGATTCCAACTCATAGCAACCCCCACTGGGTTTCCAAGGTGGTAAATCTTTATGGAAGTAGATTGCCCCATCTTCCTTCCGATGAACAGCTCGTGAATTCGAACCATCAACCCTCTGTCAAATGCCTTAGGCACTGCACCATGAAAGCTCCTTTACCTTAGCTACACAAAAACCAAACTCACTGCCATCAAGCTGAGTGGATTCTGACTCATAGCGACCCCTCCTTGGGTTTCCAAGGCAGTATCTCTACCGAAGTAGATTGCCTAGTCTTCCTTCCGAGGAGTGGCTGGTGGGTTTGAACCACCAGCCTTCTGGTTAGCACTCAAAGGCCTTAGGCACTACACCACCAGAGCTCCTTACCTTAGCTATTGTTGTTGTTGTTGTTGTTACGTGCCGTCGATTGGGACCCAACTCATAGCGACCCCTCCTTGGGTTTCCAAGGCAGTACCACTATGGAAGTAGATTGCCTGATCTTCCTTCTGAGGAGTGGATGGTGGGTTTGAACCGCCAGCCTTCTGATCAGCAATCAAGTACCTTAGGCACTATGCTACCAGAGCTCCTTAGTCACTGCTAAATATGTGGGTTCTGTAGTATATACATCTATGGCAACTCCTCTTTAAAGCTCTGACATTCAAGGCTCCATATAAAATGCTGTATATTTTTCAAGTACCTGAGGGGAGTCAGATAGCAGCAGCACCATTTTTTTTTTTTTTTAATTGTGTCTTTGTTGTTATTGTTTTAAGGCTGCTAAACTTTGAAGACAGTTAAGAAAAGATTCAAGAATGCCTTGCCTTCCCAATTGGGTATGCAGGTTTAGCTCAGTAAAGCTGTCATGAACCAATACAATGGGTCAAAGACAAATCACATAGCATCTGATGTCGGTCCGTATGTTTAAAACAAAGACACGACGCTATAGCAAGGTTAACATGGGACCTAATTTTGAAAATACAAACAGGAAGCACCCCCACCCCAATTACATACACCATTCAAAAAAAAAAAAAAGAAACTAAACCTCAAAGATACCTTCCAAGAAAGTCATGGGTGTGACCAAAACTAACAAAAGTAATAAAACATCATCTAAAATCCTGAAACCACCGTAAGTGAGGGTCTCCTTCAAGCAACTAAAAATCTAATAATTGTAAATTACTCCTCTATTTTGATGAGTAAACAAATCATAGATTTGGGTTTATATGAAACATCCTCCAAACTGGCTGGGATTTTTCAATAGTAAAGGATCATCACTGAAAAGAAAACATTTTAAAGTCAGTATTTTACTTGAAATACGGACACTATAATCAAGAGTAAATGCAATTATAAAAAAAAACTTTTGATCATTACAATGCTTACTACTTAAATGTACCAAAAAACTGCCTGATCAATGGAAACTAGGTTGTTCAATTTGACTTTCTTATTCCCAGAAACAAGCATAAAACTGTTGTCTTTCCAACACTGCAGGGGAAAAAATACTTCTGATTTTACAACAGTTCTATTCACAGGGTTCAGAATTTTTTTTTTTTTTCCCTTTAACCATCACATATATTTGGGTACAGGATACTTTAGAGCTGATAGTTAAACATTATTCTTATCAAGAAGTTCCAGAATCAAAGTGTTTTGATGATTATGTAGTAAAAGAATATTCTTCTGAAGAGTTTAGTAGCTTAGAATTATCAGATAACTTTTGAAAGTGTCAAATGATCAAAATAAATGTTAAAAACCTGTTTTTTGGGGGGAGGTTGCTTCTCTCCATAGGAATAATATAGTCATCTACACTCTAATAGAAGGGAAAGAAGTGTCATTGGTAGTCAGACAGTCCAGAAATCTGTGAATAACCTTGTGAAACACACGCGTTTATGGGGCACTAGAATAGAATTAGGCTTGCTCTGATTCTCCCTTCAACCTGCAATCTAATCTAAAGAGTGTTGTTTGCATATTCAGAACATCTTCCTCTTACAGTAAGATGAGAGTACCTGTATCATCTATCTACACAATAACAAGCCAGATGAACCACCACAAGCATATTCATAAACACAACCTAAAACCAATCACAAATTATCTGAATACTAGCCACAATCTAATTTGGAAAAAAAAAAAAATGACATAGGTACTAAAAAAGCAATACATAAAACCCTTGACTGGGCTTGATACCGTTTTTGCATATGTAAATAAAAGACAAAATCAGTCGCGAGCAAGAAAATGGAGATGAAATGAGAAGTCTGAGCACAATAGGAAGTGCTGACCGAAATATTTATGTTGTAACACTTCAAACAATGATAGCACTTTCCCCCTTCTACACATATCCTGCAGTCCTCCTTTAAGAAACAGCCATCTTAAATGGCTTAAACCAATCCATATTAATATCTTGTTGGCAAAGGTATGAACACTGAAAAGGCCAGACCAATGGCAAGGTGGGTATCATTTATTGAGTTCGGTACACAGCAAAGATTTCACACCAAGTTCAGCTCCAAGTTATGCAATAACCAAACTGCTGATGATAGACATCAACTTTTTTTTCCTGATGTTTTGCTTTTTTTTTTTTAAAAAAAAAAAGGTCTCTCCATTCCTTTCCTGTGTCTCAACCAGGTGCTTGAAATCTTTCATCTTCCAGATAACACTTACCTGACCAAAGGCATGGTTTTATTTTAATTATACATGATCTACAGAATCACAAATGGTCGCATGGTAAATTCTTCATCAAATCAGCAGCCCCTGCTCCCATTTAGCACTATGGATTCTGACTCTGATCTTCCAAGGGATGGAAATTGGTACCAAATAAAATAAGTTCAAAGCCTTAAAATAAAGTCAGTCAACAAGATTGCTCTATACAAAGTGATCAGAAACATCCACTGTTCATCAAGTGTTACAAAATGAAATGAGGACAAAATACATCTGAAATGAAATATACCCTCCCCTAGTTCGACTCAAGGGCACATAACAACTAGGAACCAGAGCTAACGAATCTGAGCAACATAAACAACACAATCTAAACAAATGAACAAGAACAGAAGAATGTGTGTGTGTGTGTGGGGGGGGGAGAGGCAGAGTTCTATTATGTTAATTGAATGATAAAAACAAAATTCTTTGAGATAATATAGACATAGCAACTGAAAGCTTACTATGGCCCAGGCAACTATAACCACTTTGGAAACCTAAACTACAAGCAGACCATTTGAAGGCTGAAAAAACTGACATAAGCCCAGTGTATTTGGTGGCACATTACCCCTTTCAAGGGGTATTCCCTCAGGACATTTCAGAGAGAATTTATGGGACTGTATTTAGGCAAATACCTACTACTTCACTGTGCTTTGGGAAAAGCACTGCTCTGAGCCTGAACTAACCAGCTGTGTGAACCCAGGAGACCACTTACTCCACTTATCTGGGCCTCAGTCTCCTCATTCGTAAAATAAAGGGATAGCATGATCCCTGAAGTCCCTTCTAGCTGTAACATTCTCTGGAACTACTTATTTGATACAACTGTATGATTGCCATCACAGGAGACAGAAGAAAAAGAGCTGGGCATGGCTGTTCAGAAAAAAGAAACAGTATTATCTGCCTTTAGAAATTCTGGTGGTATCTTCCCAAAAGCTGGTGCTGTTTTCTCCTCTGCCTTTCTCATCATTGCTGGCTACAAGTGTTTGCAAAGCCTCTTGCCCCACACAAGTTCTTTCTTCTCAGATCAGCCTGACCATCTTGCCAGATTCCCGTAGCCTCAGACCAGCTTTTCTAAAACAACTCCCCTTCCGACTCTTCATATCTACCCACGACACCAGGAGCACTTTTTTTTTTTTTTAAACTCTTTATCCCTAGCTTGGGGGATAGGGGGAGGGAACACCGCATCCCATTGTCACACGTTCAAGCCCAGGCCTGGCAGGTCCTGATGTGGGATCCCGCACCCCACAGCCTTATCAAAACACTCGTGTTTATTGCCTTGGCTCCTTATAAGGCACTGCTCCTTGAAGCTTTGCTAATACCCCCACCCTACTGGGCACCCCCCGGGCTTACCCTAACACTGGAGTCACAGACACAGCTTTTGATAAAGGAGGAAAAGCAAGGAGACCGCCAGGGTATTCGAAATTGCAACAGAGAGGTGGAAGTAGCCCCCAGAGCTCTCAGCAGCTGAGGGGGGGGTCCAAAAGACACACACACACACACACACACACACACGACTCGCGCGCACGCAGTCTTTAGAGTCTACACCTTCCGCCCCGCGACAGTCTCCGTACGACCCCCCCGCGCGCCCCTGGGCCCCCCAACACGGTCCCTAAGCCCCTCTGCAGTCCGCCACAGCCAGAGGCGCAGCGAGGCGGGGCTGAAGGGAGCACTTGCCCTGGGCGCAAGCTCCAGGGGGCTCCAGACACGGTTGGCCGGCGAGTCACCCCCAACACACACCAAGTCGACGAGGCCAGAGTGAGGGCTCAAACTTAGAGACTACCCCTGCGCGCTCGTAACCCTCGCTACGCCTCTGGCTACTGCCCCTGCCCGGTCCCCCGCTCCCAGGTCTCCCTCCCGCCCCTCACCAGCACACAGCCCCGGGAACGATGGCGGCGGCGCGGGCCTGCCGGGCTTCTGGGCGGCCGGAGCGCGGGGCCCCGCCCGGGCGGGCTCCCCAGCCTCTGTTCCCAGTCCCGAGCCCAAGGCTCGCCGCGCTGCGCCTACCTCGCTCGGCTCCTCGGGCGCCAGCGGCCGCCTCGGGCCCCGCTCTCACGTCGCTCGGTCCCTCCCTCGGCCGGACCGCCTCGCGTTGTTGCCTGCACTCGGTCCCCGCCCGGGGTGACGGCTCCGGCCGCCGACTCTCCTCCCGCCGGGGCCCACG